GTCTTGATTGTTTTAGATCGAGAGCTTCAGTTCACATCATGATTTTGGAAGAGTTTACACTAAGTGATGGAAACCAATCTAAATTTTAGCATAACATTTTACCCCCAAACCGATAGATAGATAGAGAGGATGAATTGAATTTTAGAAGATATGTTACGAGCCTATATTCTAGATTGTTTTGTCAAATGAAAAAAATATTTACCACTAACGGAATTTGCTTACAATAATAACTATCGAGCCACGTTGGTATGGCACCATATAACACCTTATATGGGCGAAGGTGTTGATCGCCTATACACTAGGACGATGTTGGTGAGCGAAAGCTATCGGGGCCGGAAATGATTCAACAAAAATGGTCAAATAGATCGAGTAAGAATGAAGATAACTCAAAGAAGGCGGAAGAGTTATGCTCGATATCCAAAGGAAAGACTTAAAATTCAAGATCGGTGATAAAGTTTTCCTACGATTGGCACCGATGAAAGGGGTAATGAGGTTTAGGAAAAAAAATTAAGTCTAAGAGATATTAGATCATTTGAGGTATTGGAGAAGATTAGAGACCACACATACAAGTTAGCTCTATCTTTATCTCTCTCCTCGATACATAACATTTTTCATGTATCGATATTATAGAAAGACATGAAAGACTTGAGTTATATTTTAAGAGATGAATCACTAGACCTCTAACTCGATCTAAGCTATCAAGAAAGCCTCGTTTAAATTCTAGATCAAGAGATGAAACAATTAAGGAATAAACAAATTCCTCTTGTAAAAGTGTAATGGAGAAACTATAATGTAGAGAAAGTAACTTGGTAACGAGAGGAAAAGATGAAGACGAAATATCTTGAATTGTTTAGCTAGAGAAATTTTGAGGATGGAATTTTTGTAAGAAGGAAAGGATGTAACATTGGTGACCTAAAACCCTTCCGGAATGTAAATATATTGTAAAGATATTTTATTTAATGAATAAAGGTATATTTATTAAATGTGAGGGATAAGATTTAAACCTTATTTAAGAATAAAGTAAACACAATTACAATTGAAAGGAAATGTCAATGGAATGAGGAAAGATTGAATTAGAGATTGGCATCACAAATTGTTATGGTAATGTTTTACCATAGACACACAATCGCAAGACATAAGTGCATAATCATAAAAAATTAAAAGTTTAGGTCCTTAATTCAAATAATTAAAAAACTTTAGTGACTAGAATTATTTTTAGGATAGGCTAAAGATGACGGCTAAATTGATAAAAAAAAATGAAATTACGAAGCTAAAATTATAGGGCTAGATTACAAGGATTAGAAGTTTAAGGACTAAAAGGTAAAGTATAAATCTTATAAAGGATCAATTAATTGATTTTAAAGGATAGCTTTTAGCTAAATGATTCTAGAAATTTTAGAGAAAAAGAGAGGGAGAAAGTCAGTTAAAGAGGAAGAAAAGATAAGAAATAAGAAGAGAAAAAACAAGGAATAACTAATGACCCTTCGAGATTAATCCAAGTGTGACACACTTAGCTTAATCTTAAGAAAAAAAGCCTAGCTATAAATATGAAGGAAGAAAAAGAAATAAGGGTTACACAATTGGAGCTTTCAAGTAACCTAAAGGAGATGATACATAAAGCAAGAAGGAAACCACCTAACCACCAATCCAAACCCTCTTATTTAGTTTAAAAACACTCTAAAACAACCTTTAAGCTAGTTTAGAGGATCAAACAAGAAGGGGCAAGGATTTTTCATCTTGGTTGAAACATTTGGAGAAGAGGAGGAGAAAGTAACCAAAGAGGAAGAGTAGCTAAAGTCCAAGTGAGGTAAATGTAATCCTCACTACACCATAAGAAATTAATGATTTTGATGTATGATTAGTGTTACTTTAAGGTTTACTTAATTGAAGTTTAATTAATGGATTGTTAAGGATTACTTTGTGATGGTTGAATTGAAATGAATTAATGATGCATGTGAACTAATGATGTGAGAATTGTGATGTTTGAATGATTGGATTAAATGAATTCAAGTGTTTTCATGTTTTCCTTATTCCAAACACAAGGTGGATGGATGACCTTAAGTATGTATAAATTGGTGGTTGTATTACTTAATCTTTATATAGTATTTGATGGAATGCCTTAGAAATGCTTAAGAAATTAAATTGAAGGAATGAAAGCTTGATTACCTTGTGGTCGAGTTTTGGCCAAGTAAGAGGTTTTGATTTATTAGTAGAGTGAACCTACTTGATGCTAAAATGGTGAGCAATATGTTAAACTATAAGGTTAAAGGTGAAAAATTGAGCTAAATAAATGAAATGAAAGTTGTGCTTCCATTAGCCTAATTTTGGCTAACTATGGAAAATAAAGAACAATGAGGTTAATGTAAGACACATGTTCATTATGAGGTTTAGAGGTATAAATTGTATAAAAATGATTACATTCATGTGATAACCAGTCCAAGAACTCCTGCCGTTGAAGGGTATCATAAAATTTGAGAATCTTCGTTCCCATACCAGTCTTGCGTCCTACTCGTCATAATCTCTCATATGAACCCTCTATCACCCATGTGGAACGTTTTCATCATCCTCTTCATCTTCAAGATTAGCTTCGCTAACTCTCAACTAGGGGTGAGCAAATGGTTTGGTTAATCGAAAACCGAATACAACCGAACCGACATACCTAATTTGGTTCGGTTTTTCATTTCAATTTATTAAAAAAAAACCGAACTGAAATTTTATCACTTACCGATTTCGGGTTCGGTTTTTAAAAATTTAATTCGGTTTTCACCAAAAAACAAACACCTCACCTAGTTATATTAATTAAAATAAGCTTAAAATTAAAATTTAATTGAAATTGAGCTTTTAGGTTTTATGTAGAAATCAACCCATAAAAGGCCATGAACCTTCAAAAACAAAGCCCACGAGATCACAACCCACAAGCAAAAGAAGAGAAGTCGGACTTAATTTATAACCTATCCCCCACCCTCCAAAAGCTAAACTAAGCGATGTGGGATAGAGAAAAGCTCAAAGGGTGAGTTTCCTATCCCACATCGGAAAAAAAACATGCATTTGAGACTTGGGAAGGTCTATAAATAACCCATCTCACTAACTAAAACTAATATATTTGAAATCATCCCACATGGAAAAAGAACTCATGTATGAGTTCGAAAATTTCTATAAGTATTATAGGTTATGGGATGGTGAACTTGAGTTCATTTTCCGACTTTGTTTTTGGATAAATGTAGAGTGTTGATAATTTTGATTAAAATAGAAAAACCAAAATAATTTGAAACCAAAATTTATCTACCGAAATGTTATTTGGTTCGGTTCGGTTGTAATTTTTTTGTGTTTGGTTAACCAAAAACCGAACCGAAATAGTTAAAAATCGAACCGAAAACCATTTGCTCACCCCTACTCTCAACTATGTTTGAGCCTCGGTTCCTATGGCTCCCGCCTATGTTCATCGTTAGCATACCCATCCGTTATACCAATGTCCCCATCTACTATGTCAACCGATGTAGGGATTGCTCCTATCATTCATCTCGCTCGGCTCGTTATTCTAAACGCCCCATATTAGTGCGCTCATAGATCTCATCCATATCTCACTCTCATTATTGTTGTCTCCTTGGTTACATGGTCGGGACAACGACAACCGAGCTTTGATACCAACCGACATAGCAAAACTTATAAGAAAGAAAGATAAATATCGTTGATCCGAAATTCGGATGTCGATCTACTACAACCTATTGAATTACGCATAGTTATCAAGAAATAGACTTCAATTCCGTTGATTCAAAGAATGTCAAAAATTGAGATAAACTCGTATACTCTCTCATAAACTTTATTAATCAAGCAAAAGTGGGGTTTTTCAGCCTCGAAGTCATACATAAATAGTAAATTTTGACCAAAACCTTAAAGCAATTCAAAGGGGAAACAAATACAAAAACAAAAAAACAAAAAAAAAGGAAAAATAAGAAAAAAAATCTCAAAAAATAGTAAAAGATAATTTTGAGGACCTAAACAATGTTTTTTTTTTGCCAAAATCACCCCTACATCATAGCATAGCTTATGAGTTTTACTCGTTGAGCCGTTTGGCATCAAACTAGGTCCAAAAAATCTCAAAATTAGATCGATTGTTTTTATTCAGCTTTTATCACGCTCATACCATTTCATGAATTCCAAGGTCCATTAGTCCGCATCACTTAGTCACTCACTCTAAAGATGTTGAGGAAATGTTTAATCCATTTATTTTTATTTTTTTTGTACTTTGAAAGTTATAATGTGTTGTTTATATGACTTTTAATTATTAAGTGTTATCGTTATATATATTCAGTAAATTTATTAAAAAAAAATTAGAGTATTACTAAAGTTTGTTATGAATTATTAACAAATTCATGACATCCATGGCCATTACTATTATTTAGTATCTATAAAGTTCAAATTCTATCATCTGCAGTTACAATTTATAACTAGCTATATATTATGTTAAATCTTGATGACTCACTTTCTCTTCTAATAACGCTTTTATTTTTATAATTGTTTGCAGTCAATCGATTCTCGGGCTAATTTGTAGGCAACGAAAGTAATCTATTTCTACTTGTATGTATAATCATGTCATGCACATCTGGATTATTGTATTTCAGTAAATTTATTATTTTTGTTTACCAAAGTCCTCTATAACATTTGAATCTTGCATGGCTCTGTGAAGAATAATATCGTTTACCACCTAAGCTACCCTTTGGGCTCACAAATTCCTCCAATCACACTAGTAACGAATCATTAACCATTGATCAATAAAAAGAAATATTTTTTTGTTGATGATGGATGCTTGCCCCAAATCATACATAACAGGAAGAAATGAAGATTTACAGTTATAAACAACAACTTATATCACATTAATTTGCTTCCCTAATTGCCCATACCCTATCCTATTGAATATTGTTGAAGGAAACCCTAAAACCATAATTGGTAAAAAAAACAAAAAATTACCGAGCAAAAACAACAATGTATGTCACATTAATTCACTTTCCTAAGCTATCATTATACTGAATATCAGTGAAAGAAACCCTACCAAAACCCAAATGACCAATCTGGTACAACTCTAACCAAAGCCTCTCTGCCTCAAACCTTGCACTAACGCTAGCCATTCCCTCATCCTCACCAAACCCCGTTGCAATTTCCAAACTCGCCCCTTCTATCATTCCTTTTCTGACCAAATTACGCTCTCTTTCTCTTTGCACCACAATGTTACCTTCCCCTTCGCTGTTCTTCTTGCATTTTCTCTTAATTTCCATCTTCATTTTCTTTCTGTTTACTCTCCCCAGACACCTCCTGCCTATCATCCATGGAACCTTAACAAAAGCAAGAGTAAAAAGATTGACCAAGGCACAAGGGCAGCAACAAAGGGCCACGCAGTCAGCTATCAACCCAGCAGTGCATGATTGACAATGCTTGCTTGAACACTCAATTAGATCTCCACCTTGATCAACGGCGTACCTGCTCTTCCTGGTGGGTCCACCCCTTGAGACCTTGTGGGTCCTTTCTTGCCTTGAAACTCGAGGTGGCCAGTTCTCCATTTGATTATTAATTGATCAATTCTAAGTTCCTGCAAAAAAATTGAAAAATCTATATCACAGTAAAATAAAATTTTCAAAACTTTACAAATAGATGTTTTCAATTTAAAAAGAATAAAAAACACTTTTTCGTAAAAAAAAAAAAAAAACAACAATAACTGAAATGACACTTCATTTCATTATTCTTGTATATATAAAAAAATTAATATATTCATAGAAATACTTTAAAATATATAATATGATATAAGAAATAATATACTATGTTACGGAAAAGAGTTCGATAGTATTATTTTACAAAGAGTTAATTACTCAAAATTTTTATTTTCGGACTTTTTTTTTTTTTTATCAAGCGACACTCAAACGTTGAAAAACGTTTTCAAACTCTTTTTTTCATCGTACAGCCAAATAATAATAATAATAAATTATTTTTTAAAAAATATTTTTCATGAATAACTTTCTAAAATGAATTCACTTTTGCCAAACAAATAGACGCAACTAAATAATAGAAAAGAAAGTCAGGTAATATCCACTTTAGAATATGTGTTACTATTATCTTAATAGTTAAAGTTAGAATATGCGTTGATACAAACAAGTATATCTTAGTGGTTGTGTATTCTAGAGTTTTTTTAAAAAAATAAAATAAAATGAAACAAGTTCGAATTCTAGTAATTTTAATTTATTTAGTTATTATATTAAAAAAAAAAAAAAACCTGCCTCATTTTATGTAGTGCAAAGTCCAACGAGTCTTCTGATGAAAAAGAAGGAAAGAAAGATCGATCTATTAATGTTATGTTGGCATTACTCTTTCTATATATATATATATATATATATATATATATATATATATATATATATATATATATATATATATATATATTATTTAAATAGGTTTTTGATAAGAATAAATTATTAAGTGATCGCTCTTTTTTTATACGTGACCCAAATTATATAAAAATATTTTTTACTATGTTTCTATTCGTTTACAAACTTAAGTTAACAATGGCAATATTGATTTGCATAAAAGAAGCTATAATTGGAGAAGGTTTTAATTTCTTAAGAAAAATAGTTTTTTTTTTTTTTAATTTATCTTAACGTGTTTGACTATTTAATTTGTTAGGATTATAACTTATTTGCATACTATACATGTTGGATGGCTAATAATTCCTCCATATATGTAAATAGAGGAATTATTGTTTTAAGGAGAAATATTAGATGCTTGTTGTCACTAGATTTGGGAAGAATAATAAGTAGCAAAAATTCAATTTAGGTGGAGCAATTTTATTTCTTGAATTCTCAAGCTTTATCCTCTCTAACCTTTTTTTTTCTTTTAATATTATGCGGTGTTTGATAAATATATTAAACATGTTATGACAGGTGATACGGTATTTGGCGTATATATGGGACATAATAAGGATTAATAAAGATGAGCCTTTGTTTAATAAAGATGAGCCTTTGTTGTCCAAAAGCAAAGTTACTGTCCCACCATGAGGTGAGACAAGTTTGTCTAATGTCATGCACAAAATCTTTATTTATCAATTTTTCATATTATTTATTAATAATTTATTTTTAATTTGTTTGACTAAAGTTTGACGAGATTTGTGCAATTTTTTAAATGATTTTTTACATATAAGGAATTAATTGCAAAAACTTTTCTTATTTAGAGACTAAATTGTATATACCAAAAAATAAGAGGACAAAAATTTCAAAGAAGGATAAATGTCATAAAAATAAAATATAAAAACTAAAACAAATTGCTGAGCTAATTAATTAACCCTCCTACGGCCATTAAATTAAGTGCAGATAAATTTTCTGCTGTGCAAAGCTATTAGGTCTCAAATATTTGATCAATTCAATCTGGATTGGACTTTAAAGCATATGATCTATCATGTTGAACAAAATTAAAAGATGACTTAACTGACATAGTGAGATGCAAGGTCTTAATTTCTCTTGTTCATCTTTAAGAAGTACTGTAGTGGTGGGTGGGTGTGTCTGTGTGATATCAAGAGATTAATTAAGATCAGTACTGTTTTAGCTGGGGACCTTGCACAACAAAATGTACAAAATAAGGTCATGATCATTTGTAAAATTTCTTAATAACGCAAGCAAAGATTTGGCAGATTTGAGTGAGAGAAAGCAGGCCTTTTCAGTGTTGAACCACCTAGGTAGGTAGGTCCGGATCCATTCGTGAAATTTCTTTCCATAAAATTTTCTGGCAAACGTGAAACTGGAAGTAATAAACATTCAGGACATAAATATGATGTTAGATCTACGAATGCATAGATAACTAAAGGAAAAGAAACTCACCTCAGTGCAATGATTGAAGATTCTTTGATCAAAATGCCGATCGAGGTACGTTGTCGTTTGCTGCACATATATGAAGCTTCAACTGCGTTTCTTCTTTTGTTAGCCACACAGCGCTATGCAATGAGGTCCCAAGATAAATTAATATTCCACCAACAACTAGCTAGAGTTTACTCGTGAATGTATGCAAGAGAGGTATAGGCCTAAAGCCAGCTCTCTACGAGCACTTGAAGAAGAAATATTAAAAACTAATTGATCTGATCTCAGATCTTTTTTTATCACGTACCACTTCTGCAAAAAAAGGAATCAATGTGTGTGCATATATATATATATATATGTTCTGCTTTATTGACTAGCTAGCTACTGAGCGCATTTCTTAATAACAGGAATCCCATTTTCTTATACCATAGAAACTCTGCCAAAGAAAACATAAAAAATTTTGGAGAGGCAGAGATCAAATGGGCGTGCATGGTTTTTGACGAGTCCCAATGACAGCGAATATGGGAAATGGTCTCTCTTCAGTAATAAAGCTCTTATTTCTATACATATTGCTTGTGTTTGTTTCACTTACCTAGCAATTAGCACGAGCCATGTACGTGACAGTCGGTGAACACGTGCCGCCACATTGAACTTCATTTAAATTTAAGCAAATATAAGTTAATTAACCAAGGATAATATCATCATGCAAGGATTTCCCCCATCCACCTGTCCTTACAGTAGATCTACAAGTAGTATTAACCTTCACCGGAGAAAACGTCAAATATATCACGTAACACCCAAACTATCTTTGGTATCAATTTTACAGCCAAACTATTTTGATTTTTCAATTAACAATTTTTGTTCGAACACTTAATGGAAAACGTTAAGGTTTCTACAAAATATTATCGTTTACTATATATATAAAAAAAGTACAATTTAAATAGAAATAATATGGATGAAAAGTTTTAAAAATATATAGATGAAGATCTCTACTTTAAAAGTTTGGTGGTGTAATTATACCAAAAAGTAGTTTGAATACAAGATTGATGCTATGTCTGTATGATTAGAAGGCAATATTTTAACGTCTTTTCCTTATTTATTAATATACAATAGTACAATGGATGCAAAATACGAAACGAAGACACATTGTTTGCTTATGTGTCAGTGGACCCAAATGCCAATAAATCGTATTTCACAATCAATTTAAAAAACTAAGATATGAAAAAGCCCCTCTTGCCACATAAGATATATGCACACAAAAAAATTTTAAAAATAGATATATAATAAGTTTGAAGAAAAAGAAAATATAAAAAACAAATATCAACTAAAAACATTCGATTGTTATAAAATAATGAATGTTCATATAAATGGTAATATGTTTTTTATATTCCCACTACTCATAATTTTTAATATAATTCAATTCTCCATTCAATATGAGAAATTGAAAGGAGATGCAATTGATTTAACAATTTACATACTTTTAAAGGTTTATAGTCCCTTTCAATTTTCTTTCTAATCTTGAAGCATATAAATAGGCTTAATTGTTCATTAGTTTATGTACAAGTATTTTGTAAAGATTGAAAAAATTATTTGAAGTTGTTATCTCTTGTATTCACTTCATGTTATAGTGAATTTATTTTTTTATCATCTTTCTCTTTAATTCTACCATTGTTGTTATTCCTTTTATAACGCATTATCAATACGAAGTTTTAACCAATCGAGATAATAGATTATAAAGTATGTATCTACTTAAAGACTTAATCATTTGCTTCAACCATTGGATTTTTTTTTTTTAACAATTGCTTTATCAAAATATCTAAATTATTTAGATCATGAAGATGTATGTATCTAATTTATCATGTACTTTAAATCTAACGATACATAGAATATACATTTGAAAAATTTAAATAATTTAATATATAGAATCTAATTATCTAATATATATTGTTTGAAAATTTTAAATTTTATTATTATGTTTATTTTATTAATATATTTTATTTTTATTTCCTAATATTATCATTCGACTTTGTATTATAGAATTTTTATACTATCAAACCTCACAAAATTTGATTTTGTGGCCTTTGATATTTTGGGTAAGAATTATTGATCATGAGTGCTTAATGCTCGAGTAAATATTTTCTATTTTTCATGTCTCTAATATGCCCATGTAGTAGCATATCGAGGAAAAAAATATTTAGATCATTAAGAGGTATATATCTAATTTATCATGTATTTTAAATCTAATGATACATATAATATACATTTGAAAAATTTAAATGATTTAATATATAGAATCTAATGATCTAATATATATGTTGAAAAGTTTAAATTTTATTATTATGTTTGTTTTTAGTTAAATTTTATTATTATATTGTGTTTTTGTTTCTTAATATTATTATTATACTTTGTATTATAGAATTTTCATGATATCAAACCTCACAAAACTTGATTTTGTGGCCCTTGATATTTTGTGTAAGAATTATTGATCATGAGTGCTTGATGCTCGAGTAAATATTTTCTATTTTTTATGTTTGTAATATGCCCCTATAGTAGCATATCGAGAAAAAAAGTTTTAAAAAATATTTTAAATCGATTTCATACTTACTCGTGGCTAAATAAAATAACAAGTTATTGATGAAAAAGAGTAAATCTCTTCCAACTTAATCTACTCCATTCTCTAAAGAGAATGTGACAACTTATAATAATTTTGAGTATGGATGAAA